CGTAAACGAAGGTTGCTATCGGAGCCTTCTGTCGGCAGAGGCCAGAGTCGGCTTCGGGCGGTCATGCTGGATACATACAGTCGTCACCATTTCGATAAATGTTGCCTGTATTATCTGCGGAATGGGTTGCGGTAAGGTTTTAGGGTTAGGTTTTAGAGTTCGTGTTAAGTACTCTATTTATAGTCAAAAAAGGTCTAGAGTTATGTTTGGGCATTATAATTGGTGGTAAGAGCAATAGGGTTAGGACTAGATCTTAACTTAAGTGTTAAGATTTGAGTCTTATTTTTATGGTTGAGATCAGAACATACGATCGGGTTAGCCTTGAAAGTTAAGTCTTTACAGTGCAGGTGTAGTTTGGCGCCTGCATGGACAGTTTTAAGGGACTGACTAAATGTATAAATACTAGTCAACTTAGTGGGCCAGAGGATGATAGCATGTTAAATCGCGTATGAGACTTCACTGCTGGCCGTTACAGAAGCCTTCTGGCGCCATATGACACACTCTGACACAGCCTAGTTAAGGGCGGGTAGAACAACACACTGCAATTTACAGGTGAGGACAGCAAGAGCAGGATCGGAGGCACTCACGATCCACCGGGAGACTCCGCAACCTTTCCTTCGGCACTGCACCGTCAATTTAGCTCCATCATCAATCCGGAAGATAAGGAGCACTGCCCAAAGGCAACACACAATAAACTAACGACCTATATGAGACAAAACTGAAGGGACACAACATCGCATGCCAAAACACGTCCATTTCATCGGAGTAGGGAGTATTTCCTTTACCGATAAAAGCGAAGATGCGAGTTCCAGGAACTAGTTGATCAGAAGAAGAAGCGACCGCTGGAACAAGGGCTTTATTCGCCTCACATTTCGGATTCTCACTTGAACCCATCATCAAAGACAGTGGTAGAAAAGAGTGACTCGTGCACAGTAAGTTGCAGTTTTTAGAGGATGCAGTCGCTGTGCTACCGCATACCTATAGCAATTAACCGCGCCCCCCTTCATCAAGGATTGTTGCCCGCTGGTACGCTAATTGCTTGATGGCCGGCATGCAAGTTGCTAATTGCCGGAATGCCATCACCCGTGTTGGATGCTGGCGTGATGATTGATCGACCATCTGGCTCACTGGTTTACGCGCTCCCCGAGTGGTCAATTACTTTGGCCGGCCTATGCCTCAGCCCGGAAAATGGAGTGGGGATGTCGTTGCACTTGTTGATAGATTGAGGTCCCGTGAACCACGACTCAAGCAGCTCGCGGCTCACGCGATTATCCCCTCTCGCGAGAATTTCAGCCTCATCGAACTTGAATGTGTGGCCGGGTCTCGTCGAATGGGTCGCGACCTGAGAGTTGGCGTCGTTTCTTTGTACCGTTGCCGCGTGTTCGACAGTTCGCGTTCGGAGCAGTCTTCCAGTTTCTCCGACGTAGTTGCTTTGTCCGCAAATGCACCAGATCCGGTTTATGACCCCAGATGTTTCTTGCCGCGGCAGTGGGTCTTTTGGTCTCATCACCTGACGCCTCATGGTGGCCCCCGGTCTGTGGGGTTGGCACGGGAGACACGAGAGACAAAACCGTGCGGACCCCAAATTCTGGCGGGCGATCCCGTACATAAAGAACGTCTCCGAGGCCGTTGGCCGCCTTCTCGCACCAGTTGGGGTTGGAGTTGCAGCAGGCTGTACTGCAAGCGAATTATTAGCACATTTTGAACACAGCTTATTACAATGGCATCCCTTGACATTGTCAAGTGTTCTCAGCAGTGACTAAAATAAATAACCATTCCGGGATTGTTTATGCTTTAAATATTAGGGGGGGGGAGGTGGTTCTCCGTGCCCCCAAAGCGCCATGTTTTTGACAATAATAATGGATGCGCCTGTCATTGTATGAAATAAAGGAGGTTAGTTCGCTGAGTTCTGACTGTTACAGAGGTTTATGCAGTTTCAGACTTTGTCTTAATCTTTTGCAGAGCACGCGAATGTGCCACAATGTGAGTCTAAAAGGGCGAGCTCTAAAAAACATCAGGCACTACGCTAAACGCAGTTACTTTGATCGAACTAATCACGTTTCGGACAGCCAGGCAAGATTTATGATAAACTAAAAGACTTTCAGAGGAAAGACTTAACTTTTTCTAGTAGGCGCCTTGTTAGCTCCATCTCCGACGACTGAACGTCTAGCCATTGTAAGATATCCTCCAAAAAATATACTTCTGGTCGTCTCGTAGCCGTCGGTACTAAAAGCCATAGCGATAAAAACAGAATATGACAGGTAGAAAAAAGAAACTATATAACCATTCTCTGTAGCTCTTGCCTGATAGTCCGTAGCATATGACTTCTGAGACTAAGAAAACACTAAAATTGTCGTATGATCGGGGATTTTACTTTTAAAGGGATTTATTTTGCCCAGAGGGAGGACAGCGTCGTATTTTGTTGGAAAGTAGCATGCGACGGCTAAACAATAACAATTTGAATCCCAGGTTATGCGCCGATCAGAAGCCCTTATGAACATAAATCTCGTTGATCCCTTACCGACAGTCCTTGGTCGGTCGATATTCGTGTTGACAATACAGTAACCACAATCCGTGCAGCCAATCGGCAAATAATTCCATCCACTGCTAGGCCATTGCTAAATATGTTTGCATTTTGCGGCTACGTAAAAGACTACGTTGCTATTTAGGAGTTTTCTCAACTGCTAGGTACGCTGTGTTATATTTGACAAAATAGTAACTAATATGTCGAGCACTGTTTTCTAAAGTCATTATATGGTGAGAGAAATATTGGGCTGGGAAATTAGGGACATAACTAATTATAACGAAAACTGTCATGAGGCCCGGACAGATTGAAGCACCGGAAAGTCGCGTCCTCTCCAGCAGTTAGTTAGGATTTTGTCCAGTAGGCCAGTGGGCTGTGAGTAGCGTAGATATGAATTTGACCATTTTAAAATTAAATTGTCTACCACCCCGTGTGCCTAGATGCTTACTTGATCGACACTGGCATTGACGCATGGCTGAGTGAAACAATGCACACCCGCAATAAATCGCAATAAATCAGCTTTAGATTCGACAGCGTCGCTGTCGTTTACGTGACAATGTCAGTCTAGAATCATGGCTGCTTGAAAACATGAGGTGGATTGACGATGCAATGCAATTCGAGGATGGGTGTAAGTATCGCTTAATAATTCAAGTCGAAACACGTGAGTAGAATACATAATGCCTTAAAATTAGGTTATAAGGGCAAGACGTTTCCGTTCTTTGCTCTTTACTTTCCTCATGGCATAACTAAGAGAAAACAGCTTTGTGGGCACCATCATAGCTTGCAGAAATTCCCCGTCAGTCATTAAAGTGTGTCGCTCACTGGTATTATATAACACACGGCTCTACAACATTTAGGAAGAAACCTTTTATACTGTCCCGAGTATATGCACTTTCTTAAGTTGTCTCCGAACGCAGAGGACTACATGTGAGCTTCTTGTGAAAAATGAGGATGTCATTCAAGGTTTTGCGAATTATTTTAATGCATATCCGTTTTGCACATTTTCCTTGGTCATATTTTGTATGTGCATTCAAAATACTTTTTCCGATGTGGTTCGAATAGTCGTTTATTTTACCATTCGATCCGTTAAAGTTGGTTAGATGTTTGACGAGATCATCCACCGCATATTCAACCAGACAGCGGTGATGAGGAGGGAATGTTTAGTTTCAAAGAGTGTGAAAACTCTCTGTTTGTTACAGAAAATTCTTTGCATTTGTTTTTCCATGAAGTAAACAGAATAATCGCTGTTTTAACGTGAGCTGCGTAGTTTGACGAAGAAAATCCAATCAGAACAATTTAACACAAAAGAAACGTCCGTTGTCAAATGCATCCAATATTTCTCTTTTTCTGTAGATGAGCCCGAGGAGGGCAAAGAATGCATAAACGTCAACAGAAATACGAAAACTGTGGCATAGATCATGCTTAATCGAATATTTTTGCCTGTGAACTGTTGTAAAAGGGCACTTTAGTGTGATATGAATATCAGCGATTGACATCAGAAACGACTTACTCCATATCACGGGTGCTTTCTTATATTGAGGTGCCAAGAGAAAGCTGTGTACATTTGTCTCATGATCACCAGCTTTAGGAAAGAGCTTGGGTACAATAACTTGCAGCACTGGTTCCTGTTCCTCATTTCTGATTGCAGACAAGTCGGCCAGCATAGTACTGTTAGCTTCCTAAATGTACAGTAGTAATGGTAAATAATCATTTAAGGATCGTCCATAACTTTAATGATTGAACGGCCTGTTTTAGAGGCAATTAAGGACAACTTACTTTCATGTGTATCACAAATTATAAGATATAAATCCTGTCCTATTACGAGCCAAAGAAACCCAGAAAATTTCAACAGACCTCAGAGTTTTAAATTAAGGCAACTAGGATAGGATTTAGAAGCAGATTATATCCCCAGGAACGCGAGCGTCTTCAGGAAACACTTACGACTTTTTTGACGAATGCCCTAGAAGGAACAGTGAAAACCCCTACTTAGATTATCGCAGGTAATGTTATATCCGCGGCGCGGTACCGATGCGAAGGGAGATATCCGCAAACGGTAGAGGATGGAACATCTGGCATGAAAACACCAAATCATGACACATAATATTTCGTAGTCGCTGGTAAAGATAATTGTCTGAAGACCAACAACAGACTTTTTCTAATTAAACACGTCTTCGTGGGCAATTTCAAGACGCACGTTTTCACTATATACACCGCCATAATCACCGAAATTTCAAGTGAACGAAAACTAAAGATAACAGAGGGTTGTAGAAAATAGTGGGGTCCAGATGAGTTTATCTATTAAATCTGTCCCAACGATTTTTCAAAATTGTATTTAGATTTGAAATCAAGAAATGACATGGAGATTGAGCCCAGATAACGAGTCCTTAGTATCCTTGGTAAAAAAATGACATCGGATCGAAAGAGCGCTGATGTATTCAAGGAGAAACATGCACGGACAAGTGCACCATGATTGAGCAAACACTCCTGTACATCGGATGATAGAACAGATGAGTGATCACGTGCCAACTGGCAAAACTATCTTGAAAGCAAAAAGAAAAGTAGGTCGGTATGTCGGCAGTAAGAGTGCAATACTCGACTGGTGTTTTTACTTCATTCACAGCTAAGGCGTGTGTCTAGTTGTGAGGGACTGACAGTCCATTCTGTCCTCGCTGGTCTGCTTAGGTTAACTGGCAAAGCTACAATTCAAAGCAGTAGATCTGATAAGAAATTTCAGATGCAAGTTGCCGTCAGCATCTAAATAAATCCGTTCCGGTGAGCCCATCCTTTTCTTAAAATCATTAACCCGGATCCCTCAACTTTACCAATTTGAGAGAATTTTTCTCCTCAGATGACATTTGACCAACTTTACCTATGCATTTTGACCCTGTACTATATAGATAGATTTCGATCGAGCTAGTTTTGAAGTTAATAAAAAATTGCGCGTATTCAAGTTGCTTCTCAGCTGTTTGTTTGGTTGCATTAAGACCGAGTAGCTGGACATTGTGTGATATCTTAAATACTTTCAAGGAGCGCCAATTTCATAGTATTAAAAACCAAACAATATTTACAGATTATAATACCCCACATTAAAAACGTCCGTTTGTAAGATTACACTTACAAATGAGTTGCGGCTAGTTAGAAATAAAGTAAATACAAAAAAGAAGAGGCAAACAAAGCTCTGTAATAAGAGGCTGTAGCCTTGACTGAAAGTCTCCGGGGGTTATAACTGAAAAATAGACATCTAAGACTGGACTGTTTTAGATGACGCGATTTTCCGGTTCTTTTTATATGGCTGTGCATCATTCCGCTTGCATGGGCGAAAAAGGTAAGATGGGGAATTGAAAGACACTACCCCTATACTGTAGTATAAATAATGTTCTAAAAAATAGGCTGAAAGGGAAGGATATCATTTCATGACTGCATTGATGACTTACAGTTCGTGAGCAAGGACATGGTCAGAACAAATGATTACGCGGTTATTTGTGAGTCTTCGTCAAATGTAGAACATGTCTCAATGATAAAATTGAACAATTTTGAAAGTTTATCTAAAATAAATGCCCACCAGCTCATGGCACGAAACTCTCGTAGAATTTCTTGAGAAAGATAAAGTAGCGGAAACAACAACTGTGTCATAGGCGTTGCCAATTATCAGTCGAAAGTAAAAATTACCTGTGTAAGTGTTCTCCAGTTCACGTTTTCGAGGGCCCCTGGTGTTGATACTTCAAGGCGAGTGAGGTTTAACCCAGCGGTTGCACTTTGACATAGTATCACAGACGTTGACTTCAAATTAACGAGAAGGATAACCTTTAAGTGTGGGTATTTCGGTAGAATCCGGTGCAAGATTCCCAAAAGAAGATTGCAGGTTTGCGAAGATACGTCATTGGAGATGAACCTTTGTTTAATGTTGCCGTCATTGGAAATAGTGCGGGAAAATACATCTTCTTCCTCGATTTCGTCAACTATTATGTGGGTCGTTGAGTTGAGAAATGTTGGGTCTCCATAGATTGTTCGAAGGAGGACCGCGTGTGTACAAAACGTTAAGAGTGTTTTAGGAGAAACCCTAGAGGAACGGGAAAAATTCTCCAAATAATCCTTAAGTAATTGAGTTCGCAGCTGTAAAAAAGGCGCATGATGGTATTATTATTACGCAGTTCGACCCTAGGCCCCTGGCCAAGGGGGAAGACAACGAGCATTTCTAAACAATTTGGTGCAAAAGTTTATTAAAAAATATTGGAAATGGCATTGAGCGAACCGTCTGGTAAAGTGTGTTTTCCGGACTTAGGGGTATCAAAATTCTTTCCAGGTCCATAATACCAGAAGACCCAGAATACACAGTCGGAATCAATCTCATCGCCATATTAAGGAGCAACTATTGCAATCTTCGTCGTCAGAAGAGACCAAGCATCTCATCACTTAGCGACAGCCCACCCAAAGCCTTTCGTGACGCTCCGTTATCTTTCACAGAATTACAGTGAGGGAACTTGCTATATAATTTGCTTGCTCTCCTCCAGCATCTCATCTAGTTCCAATAGGAAGAGCTGGTCAAAATGACCACATGCAACGTCGAATGCAAAAAAGACTGGGACGTTTGACCCTAACCATACGTCTTCATTGCTCCCGATTCCTCTTTTCATCTGAAACAAACATTAAACCCATAATATTATGTATCCAAGTCTGATTTTATTGACCATGGTTTAAGGCAAGCACAGGGTCTCCTGTATTTTAGGGACTGACAGCCAACCAGACATGCATATCTATTTGTCATTATTAATAAGGAAGGCTTATATAACAACAGTCCTAGTCTAGGTAGAATAGACAAATATTCGCCCATCATAAATGAGAGTAACCAACGTTAGCACAGAGGTTTTTGCCTGGGTTATGAGATATGCTCCAGCCATCATGCAAGCAAATGAGACCGAATGAGTTAATGCAGCACCAAATGACGTGAAAATAGGTGGAAGTAACTAAAAAGACTCGACGGCTCTTTGCTGGAGACCATGGCAACGGTTCTCTGTCCCTTCAAATCTGAATGCGCAGATGTCCGAACAGATCAATGCGTGACTGGTAGTTGCTCCTACAAGGTGTATAGTCTGACATTATTTTGACGCTGCCGTTAATTTTTCCTCGAATACTAGCATTATTATTATTATTGTGATAATGTCCGACAAGGGCGAAACGCAGTCAAAAAGAGCGGTCAGATCGAGAACATGAGAAGTTTCTTTGTTGACGTTGGTGCTCTGGGGAAGGATGTATTGGCTGGAAGCGGTCATGCTGTAATAAGTGCTTTGGTGCCGGACAATAGCAATCAGGTTCTTGAATGTGAATTGGCAGTGTGGAGATGTTAACGGGTGTTAGACGTTCGTTGCGCTAGTTGTCGACAGTCCAGTCTTGAGTGCCCAACACTTTGTTTTGGCCTCCTATATAGGATCGTCTTTGAGGGTCGCTGTCTTAGCTTTGGCGGCAGATCGTCATATACGTTGATTTAACATAAGTCTCTAGTTGTCCTGACTGAGTCAAAAGTATTTTGGCGAGTTCTTCACAACTTCTTCATAAAACTAATTTTGGATTTAATGGTGATGAACACGTGTTGTGACGTTACCATGGAAAAATTCGCCTCGGCAAGGTCAATTTTATTCGTTTTCATAAATCACGCTTAACATGCTCCGGTGCCTAGCACGCCAGAACGGGGATGTGCAGCTCCCGTTCCTTCCACGTCGTCTAAAATATTTACCGAGGACATCTTAGGTAAAAGTAGTTCAGAGCCTATGTAGGGTATTTTTCCATCGTTGGTTTTCATGCCGTCGGTAAGCGTTATCGACGCCTAAAAAAGAGCACGCGCACTCCAAGCGCAGTGACTAGTGACGAAACAGCTGCCCATATGATAAGTTAAAATGCAATTACATAGCCACTGTATATGTATATCAAAGTAGTTTTGCACTTACTAGCTAATTACTGATACTTACTTTGACTCGAGATGTATCTGATAGCCGATCGATTGGCCCACCATCTCGCCTCTCTCCGCAGCTACGCGATCAGCATTGGCATGCGCAACCAGACGGCGTGGTTGGGTGCAGATTGCTCGGCAGTGTTGAGCTCTGTGATAACATTCCTCCAGCAGCATCTGAGGGGTGGAAGGAAACGGACTACCACCGGAATATGCTCATCCAGGATTTGTGAAAAATGTGACTTCTACGAGATAAGTCATAATTAGACTAGCGAGCAAAGATTAGTTACGCGATAAGGTGGACTTGTCTGATTGCTAAGTATTCCTTTGTTCATAAGGGATGCTAGAATGCTCTGAAGGTTTTGGTATTCAGTAAGATACTAGAACATTAGGTCAAAGCTGTTGCACAAGTACTCCCAGGTTACAATGCTTAGAATAATTATAAATGGAAAAGAAGGGGAAAATATCTCTGACAAGCTTTCCGAAGAAAACTTGAGTTTCACGTCGCAACACACACAGCATGAAGCAGCAGTTGTCTAAAGTCCGAAACTTCCTCGTCATACATATAACTGATGAAACATGTTTCTTGTAATTCCTCATCTATGGTCTCCGGTTGTGTTTTATTCACATGCAACATTAAAGTAACGTTTGGTGTGACTAACAGGCTTACTTGGGGCATCTGTGTAGACTTCCCACAGCCATGTGGACCGGCAACGATTACGACCTGCTCATTCGCAATGGTTCTGAAAATTTCACTCTTGTGGATTCTTATTGGCAGCTCATTCGCTCTTATCCGTACCGTAGGCTTTGGATTTTTAAATGAGCAAGCAGCAGGCAATCTCGAACTCAGATATGGAGCAACTGGGATCTGTGGAACGGCGCCCATGAGTCTTCCTGTTATGCATTTTTGGCCTTCTAGACTTGAACCTTTATATGGGCAATTCCAAAATGTTAGAAACTTGCTGAATAAAATGATTCACGCAATATAAAGCAAAAGCGAGAACTGGAGCATTTATGCTATAATTTAGGAGGCAAAATGCTCGGGGCTGCAAAAGGTTAAGTTTGAAGGGCTTTTTGGAATTATTTCGCGCTTGAACATTGGGTGCTGAGGAAAATAAGAACGATTTGCATTGACAATCGTGATTATGGACCAGAATAAACATGGAGACAATAATGTGTAAATCCCTTACGGTTACGTAATGCAGCGGAAGTAAATCAACGAGTCGAGTGTCTTGGCCTCTAGCTAATACCCCTGCTGCGAGTATAGCAAGTCAAACGGTATCTACAAATTTCAGTTGTCGTATAAAAGACGATAGAAATCACTAAATAAAATTTCTAGCAAAACCTTTTGGGAGTAGATGGAACATTATTGGCAGGCGACTAAATCTGGCGCAGAATGTCAAACATTTTAACAACTATGCGGGAAAAATTCTCGCTGACATAGCAGATACCGCAGGTTTTTGGAGCTCTCGCGCGATTGTTAACGATCAAGCAATGTTTTGTTGTATGCAGCACAAAAAGGTTATTAGCAGAACGTCGATCCAAAATAAATAAAACAAAATAACAATTTTGAGGCTAAAGACGATAACCCTTCTTACTGCGTCCGAGTAATACGAACTAATTATGACATGCACACATGAAGTCAGTGGTCTTCAGTGAATTCAACGAACTTAAGGACATTCCATTCATTTGTAAATGGTTTCTGGGTATTCAGAAATAATGTATAAGGATGGTCCATAACAAATGCAAATGCATGAACCGCTTGCACTTGAATGTGAAGAAGGGAATTGGATGAGGTCCTTACACACTACGATTTCCTTATAAAATTAAAACGAGCAACGTTATTTTACGGCCTGATAAGAATGCGTTGCTAGTCCATCAAAGCAATAATCCCGTGGTCACAGCAAGTGAAGAATTTTAAATGCTTACAAAAGACTGGATACAACACTGAGACTAAGGCAGCGTGTGTTTAAAACGCACCAGTTGAGAACAGATCTTCTTGGTAGGGTCGCAGAAATTCCAGTTCTTTTGAGGAAAGTGGGTTGCTTTGGAGTAAATGAATTATGGACCGTCGACTATCCCAACTCAACGTTAACTGAGAGCCTTCCAGATGGGTCGAAGGAGGACGTTTTTGCACGATGATTTGGCGATTGTTCTTGTTTCTAAAAAAAACCATTTATTTTGTTTATCCATTGAATAAAAACTAATCTGCATAGAGGAATAGCATCTTATCATTAATTCTTGGAAGCTCAAAGGATAAAATTGATCAGTGAGTTGGCACGCATAAGTGATCAATCACAAGCGCATATTTATGAAATATTTATATTGCAAACAAAAAGTTCACTTGGAAAATAACAACAGCTATTTTTCCGAATGGCATCATACTCAGTCTGCCGATAAAAGCGAAGATGCGAGTTCCAGGAACTGGTTGATACCAAGTGGAAGCGAGCGCCTTTACTTTTTATCACACTCAGTTTGTTGCCTGGATCTTCCGAAACCAACAGCTCAATCCGTAAAGTGGCAAAACCAATATCTTCCGATAGACAAGAGAGAGTACATGCGATTGAAACGAACACCAAAACTTTAACCAAATAACAAATGAAAAATTTGGAACAACCTGCTACATTGATGGTAAGGAATGTGGAAGAAGGGCAAAATGGATATAGAACTGAGATTTTGAACAGGTCTCGTATTGTTATTTGCATAACGTAAGCTAACTCACGGTAGGCTTACATTTGCATTAATCTAGTTTACAAATGGGTCCATATTTTTAAGGCGTATAAAGACTCCCAAAATGTGAGTCATCTGCAATACTCGATTCTCTGAGAAGCCAAAACCAGCTATGCATATATGCATATAAACGTCAATACCAAATTCGTGAGATCAAACGAAACACAATAATCTAGACGTCAAACAAAGCCGCCGGAAAAATATTCCTTGGCTGTTCCAGGAAATGGAGTTTCTAACTTTTTAAGTTGCCAAAATCCGAACCCAGTGAGAAAAACAGAAGTTTATGTGGTAAAAACTCAGCTCTTTAAGATTTCTCCACAAAAGTCTTCATGCTGAAGTTATAAATTAATCGCACACGCTTTGTAACTTCCGCTTGTTGTGGAACTTTAATTTTAACTACAAACGTAAACATTGGCTGATAACTCAGGGTTTCCCAAGAATCCATTTTTTGGAACGATACTATATTTTACCCACGTTTATCTGCTCAGACGGTATCAGCCCAAACCAGTACTCTGTAAATAATTGAAGTTTTTATCTTTGCCCAATGGCAACTTAGTTTTAATTTTTAATTCAGAAGGCTAGTTATGTAAGTACGACCATTCTACCAAGAGCAATAAACACTTGATGCCCGCTTATCCAAACGATTAGGCGTTCGTGATAGTTCCGTAGGAATGCTCGTTTTACTGAGAATATTTTGGTTACTTTCTTTGGTCGGCCTGGTACTACAATAGTCTTATAATCTATTTACAAAATCTGGCGTATTATATCAGCTACTTAAAAGTTAGTGCAAAGGCAAAAGAGTTAATTTTTGTCAGCTGATGTGATGTTTTACCTTTCAGAGTCTTGGGCGTTTACCCTGTATCCTAAGGTAGGAGTTGCATTACCTACATTCCCTGATCAGAACTGTCATCGTTTCAGTAACTGTGTGCTTAAAAAATATTATCACTTCCAAATGAAACATTTGCCCGTCTAGCCCCGGTCATATTTAAAGAAGATGAAACGTCACGAGGACGCAACTACAGGAAAAAAATATTCATTTAAATTACATTATTTTAACTCTCTAACACCATCATGAGACATGGGCCTGGCTGCATGCGATGTTTCAATTTTTCAGAAGAGTGAAATGTTTTGGAACGAGGGAGCAGGAATATATACGGAGGCTTAAATTACTAGGGACTTTAACAACCAGAGCAATTAAAATAGAATTTGTTGACCGACAGCCGCATTAACATACACTCGATCTCGAAGGGCCTGTCCTAAAAGTATTTTCAGTCTACTAGCGCATTCAAATACGCGGAGGAATATGATGACCGAACTCTACCCATAAGTTGTATGTCAAACTTACTCATGCAAACTCTTTGAATCAGAAAACAACGTACAAAGTGAAATGCTTCGCACTCGGGTTTCAAAAATGTTCAACACACTACTGCTGACGTCTGTCTCGCGTTATCTAGTAGGCTTATAACAGTTAACGTCTCATTTATGCTGCTTCCCATTGAAAACTTACAACAACGAGCACATGCAAGGCAACGCTGACTTGTAGTCCTTTGTGTAGGAGGCACTGTGTGTATATGTGATATTTGTGCGGTGGCCAAGCTTTTGCCTCTATTTACTTAATAACGGCTGTTCAGAGAGTGAGCTTGCACTGCTTACATCTATAAGAAATAAGTTTTTTTAATAACCAGAGTTCGGGGTAAAATGACGCCAGTAGTTTTCCTCTGCACTGCTATCACAAAAGTAACGTGTTCTAACTATAAAATTATCGCAACCATGAATACTGCCTCATAAAGTACTGTTTATCTTACAGATGAGAAGCCCTGTTGTTTTAGCAATAGTATGAATAAAAGCCGCTTTTGCAGGTGTACAAAACTAGGACAGATACCTGGCAATTTAAAAGGTGAAATACGATCGGGTTCTAAGTAAGAAGCACCACTTACTACAAATGAAACTTCCAATTGATATGACACTGTAGATATGGTGACTTTCCTTCATGAACTGTCTGGTAATTCTTACTTTGAACTTATCATCTTTCACTTTGCAAAGGTGATAGATATCTTTCGTAATTTGGCACGCCTATTGAAGCCGCTTTTGCTCATATGCAGTAAATTCGCAATTATGACAAAAACCTAACAATTGTATGTGTACGGTTATAACCGCGTATACGCGTATACACACCCATACTGTAAGATATAAACAGTCCCTAAGGAGTGATAAATTCCGCAGATTAGAAAAAAACTTAAATCATACTCGAGTTAATTTGTACGCAATACTGCAATCTTCAATTCGAGCATATTCGCAAATTAATGTTAAAAATTCTGAAGAAGTCAAAAAAGGCAAAACGAAAACCACGCAACGGGCGCAATGGACAGTTAAGTGCATACCCAAACGTCGAGTGTTTAAGTCCAACATGTTCTGAAATCAGCCGGACGAACGCACGATCTTTCGATGACAAACTTGTCGAAAATTCTAGACTTTCATAATGAGGGCTGTTTACGTAATTTTCAATAGAAGTTATTATGGAAATCCTGATATTGTCACTGGTCTTGCCAACTGATTTTGGTAAACACAAAGGTTTCTCAGAAAGTTCTACACAGTAAGCAAAAGTTAACGTGATGACCTACGCATGATTGACATTTCCTGTAGGCGCGATAACATAAAATAAATATCAAATTTGTACTCAAATCCAATAGTTAATCAAAACAATTCGAGAAAAATCAACTATAAGTTCACAATAACATTGAGATATGTGACAGCTCAGACTTACCACTCTTCCGTAAGTGTTACTGATGGAATAGTGCATTTAGCCGAACCTTACGGGAGGCGCTGACTTGGGCTACTCGTTCCCCAGTTTTGTTGCAAGTTTTTTCGCCCTAGGTGACGCTAAGAGTTTTCGTACGTGGCAGATTCCTACAGTTCAGAAAAGTAGACTCCAAACTTAGGGTGCACTTTTGCTCGGACCTCTTTGGTAATGAAACTATTGGCGGAAAGCTAAAGGCGAGTACTTCGAGGCAAATCAACAGGCTGATCTTACTACAGCTACTTGCGCTGTCTAAAATATGGGAATAAAAGATTATGCAGTATATATGGCGTGACGATGAGTGGAAAACAGAGATAAGAATCTTGTCCAGAGTTGAGAAAAACCGGGTGTTTTCAAAGAAGCGAATATGACAACAGAGTACGAAGTCAAAAACTATTTACACTGAACACACGACTCAATCCCTTAGGTCATCAATTGATATGAATTCTTAACTTGACGTACAGTGGAAAGGATAACCGAAACCCTTGCTCCCAACGGATTATTTAAGCCTCCATCCGATACAGATGGTCACTGCATGTTTGAATCCATCGTAATCATAATTTAACAACGCACTCACCAGAAGTTAAGCAAATGCGGATATATGATGCACTTTATAAGCGGACAGTGGATGAATGGACGAAGCCTATTTGTTTGCTTTTGCTCAGAAGGGCCTCGGCGAGCGACATGAGCAATTTAGAACCAAATAAGAGCACGTTGACGTTCGGCAATCGTAGGATCCTGCAGATACCACGAAATTAAATTTAGCGTGTCACCATAAGAGGAGAATGAAGGGTAAAGTTAAACTACTTTGTAATATAACTTACTAAAACACTCGTCTAGTTAACGCGAATGCATCAAACTTTGCGACAATGAGGAAATCGGAAGTACAGGGCTAGGCTTGCTTATGACGCCACTTATGAAGTTCCTTATTTATGACCGATTGATCTTTTTCTCGAATTCACTCGAACGAACATTCCGTATTTCGAACGCTGCGAGACATTTGACTTGATTTCTTGCCTTCGAGACTTAAGTTTGACATTGGCAGCGGCCAATCAGAATCATTTATTTTCACCTCAGAAGGCTTTTCATAGGACCCCCACAAACGCATTGGCCTCTTAGGAAACATGGGCATTCACGAAAACCTGCGGTTGACAACCACCGGCTACATCATACCACCACATCTTCCTCCACCTACATCAAGCAATATCATCACCCACTACATGCATCTAATATGCCTCTCGGCTCCTTCTCCATACGGCCCCAGCGGCGAGCGTGACTTGAATCTGAGACTATCACGGTGCGACATGCGCCGTGGCTTGGAATGCTGCTGACCGGCGCCCCAACTCAGTCTACGCCGTCTGCCCAGTTGTGGGCGAGTATGTGTGGAGAGGGAGACGGGAAGGTTGAGTGCCAGGATGACGCGGCTGCTTCTTAACGTGACCTACGTCACTCTCACGCATGTGACCTGTTCGCCGTTCAACCCACGTTGTGCAAAATCCTGAGGTTTATGTTTGGGAGATCAGGTCAGTCGGTATGTCATCCGCCGGGCCCATTTCCCGCGCTAGACGACTGGCTAGTTCGGACAGTGATTGGGACCTGTGTATGGGAAGGGTGAGTGTGTTCGACTACTCAGCACATTTTCCTCACTGTGAACAATCTGACGCGCTTGAAGCTATCACGGTGCGCTAAAAGCCGTGTTTTAGAAGGCTGTCTCGCAGTCGGCCCAGTTTTGTGTACTTTTGTGGAGTGATAGAGTGGTGGCCTGTGACTCGGGCTGCACTGGCCCCTTAATGTAGTCTCTATGGCGCTCCCACTTTGTGGGATCCGAGCCAGGTGTGACCGCACGCCTAAGTGCGGCTTCGGCCGCGCCAACCATTTTTTATTTGTTGGTTAAGATCCAGGTCATTTCTATGTGGACCAGAGGGTGTGGAGTGGAACGTCAAGGTGCGGGTTCGATCGTGCCATCCACCTGTGCACTCGCCTACCTCCGGTCTTATTGACTAGGTCTTGACATCGGATCTAGGTGTAGGAGGAGGAGAGAGTGTGGTTGATGCAGCGTAATTCTGCATTCACTATAAGCTAAATCATGCGCAAGTCACCGTGTCTGCTTCCCTTTGTGGTGGGGCGACGTGCGAAGCGACGTATGCCGCGTTTTACGAAAGCGAGCGAGTAAAAAGCAATGCTTGGAATAGCTTAGAACTTGATTGATTATGCAAAAGTCAGTAATTTTTATGGAAGTAATTTTTTTAATGTCAGTAACGGGAGAGGACGTTTTATGAACACCTCGATAATCTTAAACGTCAGGAGGACAGCCAAATTTAATTCTGGAATAATAATAATAATAGGAGTTTTCCAGTAGTCACGAAAGAAATCATTCTCGGGAAAGACCGAAAATACTTTGCCCAGCAGGGGAAGAAAATCTCATAGCTGATTAATAACAGAGTTTGAGATGCTGTCAGTTCCTACAAAATGCGAGTTATTAACCAGGTTCGTGTTCCAAAGGTAATGCTCCAGCAAATAATCTTGTCTCATACCAACTGCCGTACCTCAGCCATGTCAGCCAGCTTTCAAGTGACAAATCATGACTCCTCGTCTTGGTCAGTCTTTCATGAACTGTTGATATCTTTTACGTGATCTTTCAGGATCTGCACTACGTGCAGAAATTCACTTTTCTATGGTAGCCATAACGTCTAGTTTAATTTAATCAACCGGATTTCCCACGTCATCCAGTTTTCTGAACAGGCTTTGCACATTTGCAGAGATGACCTTCAAGGATCCTTTCGTCGAGGAGGCCCAGTTTTCATCCTGACTGGTTTTGACAATGAAAAAGACTGCGTGGTCTGGACTATTGGGGCTATTTTTCATTGCCAACCCTTTTCCTCTCTGTAATTCTCCCCTTCAATTGAGCCCTGCACTCTCTTATCTTCGGTCATTCCTTCGTTTCGTAGTTCGGCTGAAAAACGCTCCTTTGTGCGAGGCCCATAAAGCCATTCTCCCTTCTAAAAGAAGCGCTGCGTGGGCTTCGTCTCCTACAATAACTTTTAGGGGCCTTAGGGGTACTCTCAGGTCAAAACCTGAGTCTGCTTTTTCTAGTCAGGAAGCATTTTGTACGGTGAAAACTTCGCCATTCTTCAGAAGGGCACTGGCGTATGCTTGAGGAAGATCAAGGTGGTGCGTTACCCCTTCCCTCGGAATGCATGACGCGGACTCTGTGACACTCTTATTGCGATATTTCGATTACGATTTATGGGCGAGCTTTTTATCGCCCTGTCTGCGCTAGGACTATATTCATTCACTGTGGTGCTTCACACGGATGACGGCACATGGACATTAGACGGATTTGTTGGCTTTGGTTTGGGAACTTTCACAGCTATTGCTTTGCTGCAACGTATTGTACACAGAGTTAATATTTTCATTTCCATATAAGGACTGATTAAGGCAGTCCCTAGCTAAGTTGGCCTTGTGATGTCTGTGGCAAACAGTGTTCAAAGACGTAAGCCTATTTTCATCTTATCCATTGCGCTGAATTAAAAGGATCTTACAGTTGTATTCATTTCTGACATTCCCCTGATCTAACCCAGATCAGGAAAGCAATTACACAACATTCGTAAACTGTTTATAGGCTGTATTTTCCTCGTTTAGTCGATATTACTCGGAATGCTCCAAACCGAGACTCATTCCGCCTACAGCCTCGGATCGTTGAACTCTGCTGATATCACACCGGCCTTAGTGTGTGGGCTCTATGCCTCGCTTACAGGTACTCGCACAAAGCCACTCGAATGCAGAGTAGGTGCAGAGTTATTCGACCCTAGTATCAACTCAACAGGTCACCACCTTCGTCTCTGAGACGCAGAGACTAACAGACGTCTCGCAGTCAACGTTTAAATCTGCATTTGCATTAGTTCCCCCACCCCCAGTTAACCTGTAGTGTCAAAACTCCGATCTCATACCGAAAACGATGAACTCTACGGAGATGGATCGCGGGTAAACAGTTTGGCGAACATTCCCTCCATCTGACAAAAAAGCCGCCTAGGTTTCCTTTAATAGTTTAACTTGGCACTGGATAAAGAACTGTTTTCTGTTTAAGAGGACACTATACCTTTCCTAACCCGACTGGGTGACATCGGAAATAAAAAATAATATCGGGAAGAAAGGGAGACTGCGGAGCAGATAAGTTGGATGTGATCATTTCGAATACTTCTCAAAATTTAAGAAACAGCGAAACAGTTGTCGGATTCTCCGTAGAATAGGACGGCAAAATTTGACTTAGAAATACTCAAACAAATAGAAAAAATTGCTAAAGATTACTTCGCATACGTTAATAATTAAAAACGTGCTCAGGACTCCATCGCTTGTTTAAAGGATTTTCAGGGAATTCGGATAACCAATAACTCATGTAGGATGGATCCGTTATCCGATTTCTTAATGGCCATGCATACCGAGGAGTTCCCTTTTAATGAGAGGGTACACCGGCAAGTTGGCACGTCTAGGAATGCAAGTAGCGCAGTGAGTTCACAACAAAACGCAGTAAGGAAAACTCTGTGACAGCTAAAGCCCAATAAAGCGCCTGGTCCGGAGGACAAACCCGCAAACGTTTTGAATGAACTCGCAGACCAACAGGCCTCCCGGCCCTCCATGATCTTCAAACGATCGATGGAGGCGGGGGGTTCGTCTACTAACTGGAAGCTAGCTAACATAAGCCCACATAAAAACGGGAGAGAGAGCCTCGGTAAATATTTTTCCAGTTCAGTTTTCAGCCAGTCAGTGTATTTGAGGAAAATAGGCTTACGCCATTTTGAACACCTAATTGATACGTAAAAAACCGATA